TCACCCCCATTATTCTTAGTAACTTTGGTACCCAATATAGTATCCACTTGTCCAAAATCTTTTATCTTGAATATGGAAGATAGAAACCTCTTTGTTTCTTTTATTCTATCCATATGATTATTCAAAATCAACATATTATCAACATACGAGCAAATAAATATAACATATTTATCACATATTTTTTAATAAAAACACTTATCTACACTATTATGTATTAATCTAAATAAAATAATTGCTAAGTCAAAATTTTCGTGTCGTTGCTTATTTTAAATCATGGAATGGTTTTACTAACTTGCATAAGTTGTGTTCCTTTTCGAGTAAAACAGAACCTTCAAGTTGTTCCATATAAAACCTCCTTATTGAAATCTTCATTTAAGAATATGGTCTTGACATCCATTTAATAAACATGCAAATCATGTATGGATGCTAATGTTTCTAATTGCTGTTGTTCTATCTAACAATGCATATTTATCAAAAATACTCAATTTCTTTCCTTTGTCGATAACCTTTAGCTACCAATCTAGTTTTAAAGATATTAAGAGAACTACCCATATTATATTTTCTCCTAAACACTCATTTATAATAGTAGGTTTAGACTTAGGTGGTAAATCGACAAGTTTCCACTATTGTTTGACATAATTGAATTCATCTAATCTTTAATTGTATCTTTCCAAAAGATAATATAACGAGAAGCGATAGATTCTTTATAGTTTTAAGATCTGTTTTTCACTTGTAAAATAAAATGTATTGTTATTACAACATTCTTCTTATTTTCCTCTACTAAATAAAGTGAAATAAGTTGAGAATTAATTTCATCCGATCGTAAAATCTTTTCTATCCTAGTTCTTTTGCTTCTTCGAGTCTCGTTTAGGAATAACCAATTCATAGGGAGGTTGGAGTATTACGGAGGGACTGTAACGAATTCAAGGATTTGGCCTTATTGTTCCAATGGAGAGAAGAACCTATAATTAGCTTTTTGGGAAATTTTCAAATGAGAACACCAACAATGTCGACTAGATTCATTAACATCTTTAAAAGATTTTCCATCTTGTATTCCACTAGTGCTAGGAATCTCTTTATGAGTTCCCCTTAATTCATTATCTGAAAATAGTAAATCTCAAAGAACTCCACATCATTTCATTCAATTATTACATTGGTTTCCAAATTTAATGATCTATATGATTTGCTATTATTAGTATATCCAACAAAGGCAGATTTAATGCTTCTTGAAATCAAATTGGTCTTTTTAGGGTCCGTGATCTTACA